GGCCCCAAATTCAAGGGTAAGTTGGGTTGCTGTTACAGAATAGGGGCAGGGAAGACTGAAGCCTAGGGGGCTGACTGGAGCACCTCACTGTATTCTCATGTGCCACGATAAAGGTCAAAGGAAAATAGTATTAATTCAATAGACGGTTTTTCTAGTCAACATTTAAGAATGTGTGTTGTGGGGCTGGCAGGTGGCGTGGTGGTTAAGGGCGCTGGACTCCCACATGGCCTACCGTGGTTTGAGTCCCAGACCTAGTGGCTTGCTTTCTCACTTTCCCTCTATCTCTCTTACTCTGTCCTTCTCTGGTCATATTAAAATAAATAAAGTTAAATAAAATAATTAAAAAAAAAAGAATGTGTGTTGTTTCTATAACAGTCCAACCCTGACTTTTTCCTCCCTCAAGTCTATTTACTTCTTCCAGGAGTGAGAAAGAGAGAGAAGAGAGGGACAGCACCCCTCAAACAGGGTCTTGACCCTGCTATCCACCCCTCACCTCAGCCAGCCCCAGATCATGGACACGTATATGCCGAGTATACACAGAAATGTCCCCAGTTATGAACCTGGAATCTTCCAATGTGGGTCAGTCTTGTAGAATGTCGGGTTTTACCGTGGCGCCGTTGTCTAGGACCCATGGGCCCAACTTCTCCACTTTACTGCTCTTTCCCATATACACTGTATTCTCAATGTGAACGCAACTTGCCTTTGGCTTTCTGAGTGCACCAAACTCCTTCCTGAAGCCATGTAATTAAAAACAATCATGTTAATACTTTATATCAATGATAGGATATACAATGAACACCTCTGAATTAGGGTGCATCTTTTCTTTTTTCTTAAGTTTGGAAATTATGATTCTTGGCTCACAAATCATCATCCCTCTTTGTGGGGCCCAGCATGGCTCCTTGAAGCATGGACACAGTGTGCAATAACCATGTCCAGGATATAGACATATCCACTGTCTTCCACACTGAATGTTAAATAATGTACAATCAGTTGTTCTAGTAGTTTTTTCTTCTTGGACATGCATATTGACTTGTCAGTCACATGTTTACTTGGCTGCGGTATACAGTGCCACTACCCATTCCACTTGTTTAAATGCACTTTTGGGGGCCAGCAGGTGGCATGGTGGTTAAGGCACTGGACTCCCACATGGTTGACAGTGGTTTTGAGTCCCAGCCCTGGTGGCTTGCTTTCTCACTTTTCCCTCTCTCTCTCTGGTGAGGGCATGTGCTCTACAGCAAATTAAAAAAAAAAAAAAAAAGATTAAATAAATAATTCTTTTAAAAACTGTACTTTCTTTTGCTGTTACTAATTTTCTCTTGAACCCCTTCCCCACTTTGGGGTTAAGATTAATTTTAAAAAAATTATTTCATTTGGGACTAGGGACCAGCAGTTAGCATAATGGCTATGTCGTTGGACTCCCACGTAGTCGACTGCGGTTCGAGTCCCAGACCCGGTGGCTTAAAACTCACGCCGGGCGCGTGTGCGTGTGTGCCCAAGATCCCGAGAGGAGAACGGAGGAGAAGGGATTGCGGCGTGGCCAGTACCCCTGGGGGGTGATTTCTCGCTTTCTATCTCTCTGTCTCTCTCTGTCTGGCGAGCGCACATGCCCTATAGCCAAAACCTCTCCAAAAAAAATTATTTCATTTAACTTTATTGATTTATTTTAATTTGACCAGAGAGGGACAGAGAAAGAAGGAGAAAGTGAGAAAGCAAGCACCAGGTCAGGGACTGGTACCATGGTTGCCCATGTGGGAGTCCAGCACCACTAGCCACCACACCATCTGCTGGGCCCCAATTTTGTTTTTAAGGTTTTTGCCATAGGGTGTCTGTGCTCACCAGAGAGAGAAACAGAGACAGAGATAGAGACAGAGAGGGAAAGTGAGAAATTCCCCTCCCCTGGGGGGATGGCCACACCATAGTCCCTTCTCCATTTTGTGCAAGCATGCATACACGCCTAAGGGGATTTTCAAGCTGCCAGGTCTGGGATTCAAACCACTGTCAATCATGTGGAAGTCCAGCTCCTTAACCACTACATCACCTGCTGGTCCCAGCACTAAGGTAAATATTAAAACTGCTACTGGCCAGGCCTAGTCCTCTGGCCTGGTGATTAAGGGATCTTACATGACTGACCATGGTTCAAATCCTGGCCTCAGTGTCTTGAAAAACACACTGGGGGGCATGGTGGCACCCGCCCTATGGCAAAAACACACTGGGCATGTGTGTATTTACCCCAAATCCCAACAGGCTGGAGAAACAGAAGGGAACGGATTGTGGTGTGACTGCCCCATTGGAGGCTGCTTTCTCCCTCTCTCTTCCTTTTTCTTCAGAGTACTCTCCCTCTGGGGAAAAAAAAATTACTCTTAACTAGTTGGTGACACAGACTGGGTCTAACAGTTTATGTGCTACATGTGTTGCCTTTTTTTTTTAACTTTATTTTATTTTTATTATTTATTTATTTTAATTTGACCAGAGAGAGAGAGAAAGAGAGAGAGAGAGAGAAAGAGAGAGAGAGAGAAAGCTGCCGGGTCCAGGACTCGAACCACAGTCAGCCATGTGGGAGTCTAGCACCTTAACCACCACGCCACCTGCCAGCCCCTACATGTGTTGTCTTTAATTACCACTTAACATATCTTCAAAGGGATTGTCCTAAAATTTAGCATTGAAATGAAAAATTTGGAGCCAGCAGGTAGCATGGAGGTTAAGGCAGCTGGATCCCACATAGCCAACTGCATGGTTCGAGTCCCAAACCTGGAGGCTTGAAAACCATGCAGGGGAGATGGAGGCCCAAAATCATGAGAGGGGAATGGAGGACAAGGGATTGTGGTGTAGCCATTCCTCCCAGGGGGTGATGTTTCACTTTCTCTCTCTGTGTCTCTCTGGTGAGCCCACATACCCTGCAGCAAAAAAAAAACAAAAAACAAAAAACAAAAAACTTACTTAAAAAAAAGGAAAAAGAAAAGAAAACCATTGCCTTTTAGGTTTTTTGTTTGTTTTGTAATTGCTGGCAGCTTCAATTTCTAGGGTAGGGTAATAGTATTAATAGCAGCTAACATGTCCTGAAGGTCCTCTTTGCTAAGTGTTTTTCATTTCCCTGGACTCCTTTGTATATACTATAGTCTCTGCAGTCTGAGATGCCTTTCTCTCTTACTGGAAAACAAAAATAATTAAAAAAAAATATGTATTTAATTTTACTTATTCATTCATTTATTTTTCATTTGACCAGAGAAAGACAGACACACAGAGAGGGGGAAAGTGAGAAAATAAGCCACCATGTCCAGGATTCAAACCATGGTGGGCCATGTGGGAGTGTCCAGTGCCTTAACCACCACGCCACCTGCTGGCTCCTAAAAGAAAAATTTTAAGACAGGTTCTTGCTGTGTCATGATCCTCCTGATTCAGCCTCCTGAGTAGCTGGGATCACAGGTCATGCCACCAAACATCTGGCTCTTTTTTTTTTTTTTAATATTTATTTTATTTATTCATTCATTTAATTTTTAGTTTGACCAGAGAGAGACAGAGGGTGAGAGTGAGAGAGAGAGGAAGTGAGGGAGAAAGCAAGCCACCAGATTCAGGACTCGAACCCTGGTCGGCCATGTGGGAGTGTCCAGCGCCTTAACCACCATGCCACCTGCTGGTCCCCATATCTGACTCCTTCAGTCTAGATTGCTATGTGGCCCAGGAAAGCTTAAGTTTGGGATCCTCCTCCCTCAGGCTCATGGCCTCACATCACCTTTAGGCTTGAGGAGGAATGAAACCAGGGTCTCTTGCACGTGGTTCCAGCCTGAGAAGAACAGTGTCCTAGCAGTGCGTGCCACCATAGCTCTGTAAGGTTTACTTGAGGCATTCTGAGGAAGTGAGGTCTCTTTGAACCATGTTCCTGTTGTCCAGCACGTTTTGGTTGCCATATCTGGGATTCAAATCACTGTAGTAAGTTTGGGTGTCTTCCCAGTTAGGCTGTACAACTTTGGGGATAGAAAATGCCTTTTATGTATTTTTGGGTTCCTTGTGCCTACCACAGATTCCCTATTCTTCTACACATTCCACCTTTACTTCCCCCTCACATCCCCTAGGGTATGTGCGTTAGCACACAGGAGAGAGACAGTGAGAGTCAGAGACAGAACACGGGAAAGTGAGAAATCACCTCCATCCCCAGGATGGCCATTCCACAATCCCTTCTCCATTCTCGCAGATCTCAGGCACACGTGCACATGTAACCTGTGTGATTTTCAAGCCACTGGTCCGGGATTTGAGCTGCCATCGACCATGTGGGAATCCAGCCGCCTTAACCGCCGCCACCGACTGGCCCCTACCTTACTCTTTCTACAGAAGGAAACAGCGCTAACGTTTCGTGTAGTTTGCAAATCTTGGCCTTGCACTTACTAACACCAACACAGGCGCTCCACCTTACAGTCTGTAAATGTTTCTGCATTACTTCAATCCATTGTCCCCAAATCTTTGACAGGTGGGCGTATTTGCGGTGAGGACATTTGTCGTAAATTTGCTGCTTGTCCCTTGGTCTCGGGATTCGTCCACTGAACTGAAGCCAACAGGGTCAGGAGGGCAGACTCCTCAAAAGATGGGCAGCTTCTGAGTAACGAGCAAGGGCACAGGGAAAGACCGCGTGGCACTAGGGTGGCGGTGGTGGTAGAGGTGCACAGCTTGCACGAAGGCGACGTCCGAGGAAGCCACAAGCAGGAAATACGGGAACAGCAAAGGATGGTAAGAACGTCACCTCGACCCCTTTTTGTCACCCTGCAAACCTCATACAGATTCAGGTTCTCCCTCTGATACCGGACCGCGGCGCTTCGGCCCTTTAACTCGTACTTTCTCCTTTCCTTCCCGCAGCTCGGTGTTCGTCACTCGGCCCTTCTGGGAGCACCCCCAAGCCTCTGAGAGCTCCCATTGGCTGGCCCGCTCTTTCACTCCAGTCTCTCTCCAGAGGCCCCGCCTCCTCCCGGCCGTCCCGTTTTCGCCCCGGCAGTGCCCAGCCAGCTCCGGAGCAGTCGAGTAGAGTGAAGCGGCCTCTCTTTCTCCAAGCCCCGTTGCTTTGTGGGATCGCAGTGGATTCCTCCAGCTCAGACAAGTGTTTCGCTTCTACCAGGGCTCCCTCGTGGAGTACGGAAGCCGAGAGGACTGGCAGCCATGGCGGCCCACCTTAAGAAGCGGGTGTACGAGGAATTCAGTAAAGTGGTTCAGGTAAGGTCCGGGAGAAGGGTCCTGGGGCCGTCCGGGACTGGGAAGCTGATGCGGACCCCGGCATCTTGCCATAACAGGCTCCACCAGCCCGTCTGGAGCCGACTACTCGATAGGGTCTGGGAGACTAGTTTAGGTGGGCGTGTAGGTGTGCCACCGCGGTAGTTAGTACCGGTGTGTGTAGTCTGACATGTTTTTAAAAACTATTGGAAGAAACGGTGTTTTGCAATGTGCTCATATCCATGATCTCATTTGCATTTTCACACCACCTTGCACGTCGGGTTAGGTTAGCGTTAGCATCATCGTTTTACAGGCGTGGACATTGAGGCTTCCGGAGGGGTAGGAGGACACAGCTCATTTGCGCAGCTCTTCCCAGCTCCGATCAAAAAGAAGCGCCAAGGAACTAGTCGCGCCTATGCAAGCTCTGAGGGGCTGGAAGAGGAGTCTGTAAGATTTCTCAAGGCCAGGTTAGAGCTTGAGAGCGCAGACTTCACCGGGGTAGAAGCTCTCCGTTGGCCAAGGAAGGAGCGAATTGCCTTCTTCCCTTGGGGTTGTTTAAGCACAGGTCAGAGCAGTCAGTTATGTCGCTGGCTGATTCCAAATCATCTCTGTGTTCTGCTTCTCAGACTTACTGTGTATACAAATCACCTGGGACCCTTGTTAACATGTGCATTCTATTACTGCTTAGTAAGTCAAGCAGGGAAACAGAGACAAGGTTCTGCATTTCCGACAAACTCCTGTTCATGCCAATAGATCAGCAAGCAGCATTATTAGATCCATAGACTTGTAGAGTATCAAGGCTTAGAGCATTTAGCAGGAAACTGATCCTCAAACAGTACACTCAGTGATTAATTCAACAAGTGCACAGGCGCCCGGTGTGATTTTTAAGCTAGTGGGACCAGGGCTTGAACCATGGAGTTGGCCATGTGGGATCTAGTGCCTTAACTGCCACACCACCCGTTGGCCCAAGGTATTCAGCTTCTCTTGAGCACTGCATCACTGCTGCACCATGGAGCCAGCCAGCCCTGGTTTTCTAAGGAGGGAGGCTGAGCTTCATAGGTACCTTACCATAGTCTCAAGATAAAATTGACATTTCTTGATTTTTTTTTTTTTTTTTTGGAGACAGATTTTTTTTCTATAGGGTGTGTGTGCTTGCTGGAGAGAGAGACAGAAAGTGAAATACCACCACCACCACCCCACCCAGGGGAGATGGCCATGCTGCAGTCCCTTCTCCTCTTACTCTTAGGATTTTGGACACACATACACACACCGGGTGTGAGTTTTAAGCTGCCTGGTCTGGGATGTGAACTGAGTCGACTATGTGGGAGTTCAGTGATATAACCATTATACCATCTGAGGGTCCCCAATATTTCTTTTCTAATCAAGAAAGGAGTAGGAGGCAGACAGTAGTGTGGTGGTTATGGTGGCTTGTTCCTACATAGCTGACTGAGTGGTTTGAGTCCTGGACCTGGCTACTTGAAAAACAAGCCTGGGGGCTGGCAGGTGATGTGGTAGTTAAGGGCACAGTACTCCCACATGGCTGACCACGGTTCAAGTCTCGGACCTGGCAGCTTGCTTTCTCACTTTCACTCTGTCCCTCTCTGGTCAAATTTAAATAAATAAATGGATAAATAAAGTTAAATAAAATATTATTAAAAAGAAGAAAAAGAGGACACCAACAGCGTAATGGCTATGTTGCTGGACTCCCACATAGTCAACCGTGGCTTGTGTCCCGGACCCGGTGGCTTAAAACTCACGCTGGGCGCGTGTGTGTGCCTGCCTAAGATCCTGAGAGGAGAATGGAGGAGAAGGGATTGCGGCGTGTCCATCCCCCCTGGGGGGTGATTTCTCGCTTTCTGTCTCTATGTCTCTGTCTGGCTGGCGAGCACACACGCCCTATACTGAAAACCTCTCCAAAAAAACAAAAAAGAAAAAAAGAAAAATATTATTAATAAAAAGAAAAGCGTGGTGCGGTGGACATTCATGCCCAAAATCCAAGAGGAGGAGAAGGGATTGCAGTTTGGCCCTCCCCCCCGGGGGTGCTTTCTCACTTCTTGTCTCTTTCTCTCTGTGTTCCTGTCTCTGTCTGATGAACACACACACCCTATAGCAAACACTGAAGAAAAAAAATGGAGTGAATCTTTTGTGTCACTTCTTTTTTTTTGAGAGAGAGATTTTTGCCATAGAGCGTGTGCATTTGTCAGAGAGACAGAGAGACAGAAAGCGAGAACGCTTCCCCACCTGCCGAGAGGGATGGCCACAACACAGTCCCTTCACCATTCTCCTCTTGGGATCTTGGGCATGTATGTATACATGCTTGGCATGAGTTTTTATTGAGAAATTTTTGCTGTAGGGCACCTGCGCTCACCAGAAAGAGAGAGACAGAGAGGCAGAAAGTGAGAAATCACCCCCCGGGAGGATGGCCACGCTACAATCCCTTCTCTGATCTCCTCTCTGGATCTTGGGCATGCATGCACATGCGCTTGGTGTGAGTTTAAGCCACCAGGTCCGGAACTCAAACTATGGTCGACTACATGGGAGTCCAGTGATATAGCCATTATGCTGGTATTTTTATTTGACCAGAGAGGGACAGAGTCGTGGGGGGTGGGGGGGGGTGAGCTAAAGAAACAAAGCAAGCCACCAGGTCTGGGATGGTTGGCCATGTGGGAGTCCAGCACCCTTAACTACCGTGCCACTTACCAGCCCTCACACCCCCTGCATGAGTTTTAAGCAGCCAAGTCTAGGACTCGAACCATAGTTGACTATGTGAGAGTCCAGCAATGTAACCATTACTCCCTGTGCTGGTACTTGGTGTGTTTTTTTTTTTTTTTTTTTTTTTTGAGAGTTTTTTGGTATAGGATAGGGAGCATGCACTCTCTGGAAAGACAGAGAGACAGAAAGTGAGAAATCACCCCCCAGGGGGGATGGCCACGCCGCAATCCCTTCTCTTCCATTCTCCTCTTGGGATCTTGGGCACACACGTGCATGCGCCCAGCATGAGTTTAATCCACCGGGTTCAGGACTCGAACCGTGGTCGACTACATGGGAGTCCAGCGACATAGCCATTATGCCAACTGCTGGTCCCCTTTGTGTGCTCTTAACGCGCTAAAGCTGTAATAGTCCTTAGAGATAGGTAGAACAAATTGTCAGTGTACCTGTTTTACAGAGAAAAACTAAGACTTGGAAAACTAAAATGGCTTGCTCAGAGTTGAAGAACCAGAGAAAGGCAAAATTGTGGCTCATAGTCTTGTCACCAATCCAGTGCTCTTTTCCCAGTTTATAATAAGTGATAGTATAAATTACTGCTTTTGCTAGGACTAGGTATGCTCGCTAATCACATGATTTGGTACAAGGGAAAATTCTTTCCATCAGCTGGGACTAGTTAAATTCATAGACTCTGATTTCAGTTAAATCTTTTTCTCTTGACTTTTCTACCCCCTGACAGCAACAACAGGAGGAAATTGCCACTAAGAAGCTCCGGCTGACCAAACCAAGTAAATCTGCAGCACTCCACATCGATCTGTGCAAAGCGACCTCTCCAGCAGATGCTTTGCAGTACCTACTCCAGTTTGCCAGGAAGCCTGTTGAGGCTGAAAGTGTGGAGGGAGTGGTCAGGATTCTCTTGGAGCATTATTACAAGGTAAGAGCTTGAAGACCTAATGGGAATATTTATGCTAGCTGTATTCTAACCGAGGATTGTATTGGTTAATACTGCAAATAAAGTATTTTGTTCAGCAAGCTTTTCTGTGTGCTAGGCACTGAGGATACAAAGATAAAAAAGGTACAGTTTCTGTCTGCAGAAATTTGTAGTTGAGTGGATGGAGACAGACAGACATGTAAATAATACGGTGTATCATGTTGCTGAAGATACTGCAAGTGCACTTCTGTACTGGGTGCAGGGGAGGCATTAACATCAGTGGTGACCTTTTTTTTTTTTTTGAGAGGTTTTTGCTATAGGGGGTAGGGAGAGAGAGACAGAAAATGAGACATCCCCCCTTGGGGGTGGCCATGCCGCAATCCCTTCTCCTCCATACTCCTCTTAGGATCTTGGGCATGCACGCACACATGCCCGGCATGAGTTTAAGCCACCGGGTCCGGGACTCGAACTGCAGTTGACTACATGGGAGACCAGTGACATAGCCATTATGCCAACTGCTAGTCACCCAGTGGTGACCATTTTGTAACCATACTGATCCTGAATGTAGGTACGTCCTCATTATATGGGATCCAGCTTCTCTTTCTCTCTCTTTTTTTGAGAGAGATTTTTGTTATAGGGCATGTCTGCTTGCCAGAGAGACAGAAAGCAAGAAATTACCCCCTGCGGGGTTCCTTCTCCATTCTCCTCTGGGGATTTTGGGCACACATACCTCGCGTGAGTTTCAGGCTGTTAGGTCTGAGACTTGAAGTGGTGCTGGCCACATGGAAGTCCAGCACCTTAACCACTACACCACCTGCTGCCCCAGGCATCCAGCTTCTCTTCAGCAGTGCTTTACTGCTGTACCACAGAGCGAGCCCTTTGTGAGGTCTTTAAAGACTGGTGTCATTTTTCCGTAACTAGTTCAGTAAATCTCTCTAAAAAAAGAGTTATCTTTCTTTTTATCTTTCATGATTATCACCTAATCATGGTACACAAAACTAAGTAATTCTTAGTGTCATCTCAGAATTAGTCTATACTGAGATTTTTCCAGTTGTTTCCTTTTATTAAATGAGATTTTTTCTATAGGGCAAGTGTGCTCGCTAGCGAGACAGAGAGAGAAGGTGAGAAATCTTCCTTCAAGGGGGATAGCCATGCCACAATCCCTTCTCCCTTCTCCTCTTAGGATTTTGGGCATGCACGCACATATGCCTGATATGAGTTTCAAGCCACCTGATCTGGGACTCAAACTGCAGTTGACCACATGGGAGTCCAGTGCTTTAACCACTGTACTACACACTGGCCCTCCTAAAATATCCTTAAAAAAAAAAAAAGCAATTATTTATTTACTTGACTCTACTTATTGTTATTTTAAACCTGACCAGAGAGAGACAGAGAGAGAGAAAAGGAAAGTGGAAAAGCAAGCTGTGGGGTCCAGGACTCAAACCGCGGCCGGCCATGTGGAAGTCCAGCACCTTAACCCCTACGGCACCTGCCGGCCCCACAACTTTCCTTTTATAGTTGGTGTGTTTAAATCAGAATACAGACCAGATCTACACATGGCATTTGGTCTTTTTAAAAAACTCTAGAAGAATTTTTATTATTTTGTTGATTCTGATTTGATAATGGGACCTGGTCAGTTTTGTAATATGTCTTGCTTTCTGGGGCCAGCATGTGGCATGGTGGTTAAGGCACTGGACTCCCACATGGCAGAATGCAGCTCAGGTCCTGGATATGGTGGCTTGAGAATTATGCTGGGTATATGTGCATGCATACCTAAAATTGTGAGAGGAGAATGGAGGAGAGGGGATTGTGGCATGACCATTTCCCCAGAGGGGAAAATTTTCCCTTTCCTTCTCTCTGTCTCTCTGGTATATGCATGGTCCCTCCCTATAGCAAAGACCTTTAAAAAAATTGCTGTCTGAATTTATTTACTTTCTAGGGAATAAACTTGCTCCACCATTCCCTATATTTGCTATCAACTGGAAGTTTGATCTGTATTTATTTTTATTTTTATTTTTATTTTTTGCTGTAGGGCACATGTGCTCACCAGAGAGACAGAGAGATGGAAAGCTAGAAATTGCACACCCCTCCCCCCCCAGGAGGTGATGGCCACCTTGGAGTCCCTTCTGTTCCACTCACCTCTTGGGACTTTGGGCATTCATACACATGAGCCCAGCATGCGTTTCAAGCTGCTGGGTCTGGGACTCGAACCACAGTGTCTGCTGGTCCCTGTAGGTTTTGTTAGATCCAGGTTAATCATAGTTTTGATTCTTTTAAGACTATTTTATAGGTGATGATTTGTATTTTGTATCACTGTCAGGATACATGTAATGTTTTGATGTCTCACCTTGTAAAACTTATCTTTTTCCCTTCTGTTTCTTTCTTTTTAAAAATTTTATTTAACTTTAATTATTATTATTATTATTGTTATTATTTTCCAGCTTGATCAGAGAGAGAGAGAGAGAGAGTTAGAAAGCAAGCCTCCAGTTCCAGGACCCAAACGATGGTTAGCCAGGTGGGAGTCCAGCACGTTTAACCACCATGACACCTGCTGGCCCCCTCCTTCAGTTTCTTTCTATAAACTATCTTTTTAAAAATTTGTTCAGGAGCCAGCAAGTGGTGTGGTGGTTAAGGGCACTGGACTCACACATGGCCGACAGTGTGAGTCCTGGACCTGGCGGCTTCTTTCTCACTCAATCTCTCTCTCTCTCTGGTCCAATGTAAATAAATAAATAAATAAAGTTAAATAAACTAATTAAATAGTTTATTAGTTAAATAAACTAATTTTTTTTTTTTTTTTAAATCTATTCATTCCTATTAGTTTTATGTCTGATGTAAAAGGTCCTCTCTTTTACCTGTGTGATATTCTAGCTTAATCAAATGCTTACTTGCAATGCTCCAAAGACCTGTGTGTTTACAGAAATGAGTGTCTTTTCACTTGCAGTTTCCTCGGCCTAGGACCCTTCTCCTTACCACTGCCCTGTGATCTGGGCAGCTGTTTTCTCTGCCAGTCATATTTCTTCCTCACTGTGTTCTCACTTACGTATTCTTCTGCTTAGAATATTTCCGTGGGACATGCTTCCTGCATGTCCCTACAGTCTTTGTTCAAATATCAGTTTTCATTGAGATCTTTTCCCCTCTATTTCGCATTGAAACTGCCTGTCCCATTGCAGCACTTCCTACCCCTTCATTCTTCATTTTGTTTTCTCTATAGCACTTAAGTATCTTCTAATACTTCATATGATTTTCTATATATTCTTCTAATATTCTATGTAGTTTTCTCATGGATCTTGTCCATTTCTCCATACTAGAACATAAAAACTCCTCTTGAACAGGGATATGTATTTATTTATTTATATTATTAAATTTTGCTATCGGTTTCATGCATTCAATAGAGAGAGAGAGAGAAAGAGAGAAAGAAAAGGTGAGAAATTACCCCCTCCCCCAGGGAGGTGGCCATGCTGCAGTCCCTTCTCCATTCTCCTTTTGGGATTTTAAGCAGACACATGTACCTGGCATGTTTTTCCTTTCTTCCTTTTTTTTTTTTTTTTTAAGAGAAATTTTTGCTATAGGCATGTGTACTTGTGTACTTGCTGGAAAGACAGAGACACAGAAAGCAAGAAATCGCCCCCCAGGGGGGATGGCCACGTCACAATTCCTTCTCCTCCATTCTACTTTGGAGATTTTCGGCATGCACGCACACATGCCCAGCGTGCCTTTTAAGCTGCCAGGTCTGGAACTTGAACCATGGTTGACTGTGTGGGAGTCCAGATACCTAACCATCACATCACGTGCTGATCCCAGCCTGGTGTGTTTTTTAAGCTAATGGGTTCGGACTTGAACCGCACAGTTTGCTACGTGGCATCTAGCCGTCTTAACCTCCTCATCACCTGCTGGTCCCAGCTTTGTTCTTGTTAAAGATGGTTTTAACTAGTAGAGAGCCTATATGAATATTAGATAGATGTTTCTATTTCTGTAAGAAACATTGGGATTTTGATAGGATTGCCTTAAATCTGGATTTTTAGATTGTTTGGGGACACTATTAACATCTTAACAATATTAAGGCTTCTAATATTGGAACACGGGATTTAAAAAAATTAAAACAAAAGAATTATTCATTTAATTTAATTTATTGTTATTTAAAAATTTGCTATAGTGCGCATGTACTCACCAGAGAGAGAGATGAGAGAGAAAGAGAGAAAGCAAGCTGCCAGGTCCAGGTCTCGACCTGCAGTTGATCATGTGGGAATTCAGCACCTTAACCATCAAGTCACCTGTGCTGGCCCCAGAACATTTTCATTAGTGTTTTTATTTATTGGAGAGATTTTTGCTATAGGGCATGTGTGCTCGCCAGAGAGAGAGAGAAGGTAAGAAATCACCCCTTGGGGAGATGGGCATGTCATAATCTCTTCTCTTACTTTCTCCTCTCAGGATTTTGGGCACCAAGACCCAGGCGCCTGATGTGGTGTCAGGCTACCAGGTCTGTGATTGGCCATGTGGGAGTCCAGTGCCTTCGTCACTGTGCCTCCTGCTGACCCTTATTTGTATCTTTAATTTCTGTCAGAATTATTTCGTAGTTGGGATCATAGAGGTCTTTCACCTTTAAGGTTAAATTAAATTTGTTTTTTCCCACAGAGATTTATGTTATACTGTGTGTGCGCTTGGTGGAGAGACAGAGACAGAAAGCAAGAAATCATCTCCCGGGGGGATGGCCACACTGCAGTCCCTTCTGCATTCTCCTCTCACGATTTTGGGCACACACTCATATGTGCCTTGGTGTGGGGCTTTTTTTTTTTTTCCAATTTTTATTTAATTGGTTTATTTTAATTTGGCCAGAGAGGGACAGAGAGAGAGAGAAAGAGGGAGAGAGGGAAAGCAAGAAAGCAAGTCGCTGACTCTGGGACTTGAACCATGGTTGGTCATGTGGGAGTCCAGCACCCTTAACCAGCATGCCACCTGCTAGCCTCCTGGTGTGAGTTTTAAGCCACTGGGTCCAAGACTCG